AATATTATTAATATAAAAAGTGTGGTTTACGAACAATGGCATATAGTCCTATGTAATTTAAGAGTGAGTCTTTGAATGATGTAACGGCCATGTCTCTGTGAAATGGAATAAGCACAATGTTTAAAGGATTTAGCTTCAGATTTACTCCCTATCACCTCTTGATAAACTCACTGGTGCTCAGCAGAGACAAAGCTATTCTAGAATTAGCACTGCCTAAACACATGGAATCAGCAGATTCTTGGTATCTAAAGAGAACAGGGGCATCTGTGGCTGGCTCAGTTGGTAGAGCATGTGACTCTCAAGGTCATGAGTTCAAGCCCCACATTGGGCATGGAGCCTACTTAAAAAAAATAATTAAAAAAATAAAGAGAATAGATATAAAACTCTTTAGTCTTTAATACTGACACTAATTGAGTCTATTTCGCAAGTAGTTGTTTCAGGCAATCAACAAATATTTATTAACTGCCGAGGATACTTCTGAAGCCCTGTGGGAGAAACAAAGAACCATCAGATATAGTTGGAGAGATAATACATTCACACATTACATAATAACACACTTGTATTTCAAAAGAGTGCATGATTAATTGCCAAAAAACATCTATAGAGAGTGGATGTTTCAGGATTCACTGCGGGTTATTGAGATGTGGAAAGGCTACATGGAGGAGGGAGGTGCCACCAAACTACGCCATGAAGGTTGGAAAGAAGCTATAAAGCTAGTTTCAGGGGGAAAGAATGCTGTAAGACAAGGCATAGGGGCAGGAAAGTCTGTGGTGTATTTAGCAACAACTCAGCATTTTCATAAGGTTACTTGGGGCACCTGACTGGCTCAGTCAGTAGAGCATAAGACTCGTGATCTAGGAGTTGTGAGTTTGAGCTCCACGTCAAGTATAGAGATTACTTAAAAATAAAATCTTAAAAAAAAAATGTTGCTAGAGTGCAATGTTATGGATATGGTTCAGTTGGGTTCAATTGGGACTTAATGATTCTGAACCCTATGCAACCCACTGCCATTTTTTAATAACAGGTATTTTGTTTTGCTTCCTTTACTGCACAATATATAAAAAATTGATATAAAAATCTGGCTATAAAGGATAAATGAAAGGAGAATAATATTTAATAAAAAATATGTATTTGATTCTACTTACAAGAGGTATCTAAGGTAGTCAAACTTTTAGACCCAGAAAGTAGAATGGTGGTTGTTGGGGGATAGGGGTAAACAGGGAAAGAGGAGTCATTCAATAGACCTAGAGTTTCAGGTTTAACTTGCTAAACCCCAGTTTAGCAAGATGTGAAGTTCTAGAGATATATGCACAAAAATGTGTATATACTTTACTGTAGTATGCATTTAAAAATGGTTAAGATAGTGGGGTGTCTGGGTGGCACAGCTGGTTAAGCATCTGACTCTTGGTTTCGGCTCAGGAGCCCCCCGAGTCCGGCTCCACACTCAGTGAGGAGTCTGCTTGAGATTATCTCTCCCTCTGCCTCTGTCCCTCCCACTTGTGCTCTCTCTCTCTCTCAAATAAATAAGTAAATCTTAAAAAAAAAAAAGTTAAGATAGTGAATTATGTTGTGTTTTTTTACTATAATCAAAATATGAATTTAAATATGAAAATATGGCTAAGTGGATTTCTTTTCATGTAGTTTGCTCGGGACTCATTGTCTAAACTATATCTGAAGAGGCACCTGGGTGGCTCAGTCAGTTAGGCGTCTGCCTTAGGCTTGGGTCATGGTCCCAGGGTCCTGGGATCGAGCCCCTCGTCAGGCTTCCTGCTCAGCAGGAGCCTGCCTATCCCTCTCCCTGCTGCTCCCCCTGCTTGTGCTCTCTCTCTCTCTAATAAATAAATAAAATCTTTATAAATAAACAAACACACAAACTGTATCTGAAGATTCACTCTTTATATTAGTTCTGGAAAAAATGCCCCTTTCACATTTTCTGTATTCTTTTTTTTTTTAAGATTTATTTATTTGACAGAGAGAGACACAGTGAGAGAGGGAACACAAGCAGGGGGAGCAGAAGAGGGAGAAGCAGCCTCCCCGCCAAGCAGGGAGCCCGATGCGGGGCTTGATCCCAAGGTCCTAGAATCATGACCTGAGCTGAAGGCAGATGCTTAATGACTGAGCCACCCAGGTGCCCTTGAATTCTTTTTTGACAGAACTCATATTAAATGTATATTAGACCATATCATCCTCAATGACTCTTTTTAAGATTTTATTTTATTTTATTTATTTATTTTTTTTTAAGATTTTATTTATTTATTCATGAGAGACACAGAGAGAGAGGCAGAGGGAGAAGCAGACTCCCCGCCGAGCAGGGAGCCCAATGCGGGACTCGATCCCGGGACTCCAGGATCATGACCTGAGCTGAAGGCAGTCGCTCAACCAACTGAGCCACCCAGGCGCCCTAAGATTTTATTTTTAAGTAATTTCTACACCCAACATAGGGCTCAAACTTAACAACCTCGAGATCGAGAGTAGCATGCCCCACCAACTGAGCCAGCCAGGTGTCCCAGGGGTTTTTATATTCAAAATCTTGTCATCTATAGTAGAGATAGTTCTTTGTTTCTTTGTGTGTGTGTTTTTTAAGATTTATTTATTTGAGAGAGAGTGTGCCTGGGGGTCAAAGGCAGAGGGAGAGGGAGAGACAGTCTTAAGCAGGCTCCCCGCTGCTTGCGGAGCCCTACTTGGGGCTGATCTCAAGACCCTGAGATCATGACCTGAGCCAAAACCAAGAGTTGGATGCTTAATCAACTGAGCCACCCAGGCCCGTCCGTTTCTTTGGGTTTTTGTTTGTTCATTTTTGCAATAGATCTTGCCTTTTATTTTATTTTCTTGCCTTATTGTCTTGGCTAGAACTTCCAATATTATGTAAAATAGAAGTGGCAAGAATGGTCATCCTTGTCTTGTTCCTGATTTTAGGGAGGAAAGCATTGTCTTTCACCATTAAGTATAATGCTAGCTGTGGGGTTTTCACAGATGCTTTCTATCATATTGAGGAAATTCCCTTCTATTCCTCATTTTGTTAAATGTTTTTAATCATAAAGAGGTGTTGAATTTTTTCAAATGCCTTATCTGTTTCTAATGAGATAATCATGTGGTTTTTGTTCTTTATTTTATTGATATGGTGTATTACATGAATTGATTTTTGCATGTTAGACCCATCTTGCATTCCTGGGAAAAATCACACCTGGTCTTGGCGTGAATTCCTTTCACATGTTGCTGGATTCCTTTCCCTAGTGTTTTGTTGAGGATTTTTGTATCTATATTCATAAGAAATCTTGATGTTTGTTTTTAATTTAGTTATTATTTTTTTTAGAGAGGGAGAGAGAAAGAGAGAGAGGGCAGGGGGAGGGGCAGAGAGAACCTTAAACAGGCTCCACGCCCAGCACTGAGCCCAATGTGGGGGCTCAATCCCACAACCCTGAGATCATGACCTGAGTTGAAATTAAGAGTCAGTCGCTCAACCAATTGAGCCACCTAGGTGGCTGCTTTTCAAGTGGGATTTATGGTGTTTCCAAAAGTATGCTGCTGCTTCTGCCATCTTTTGAGAATTTTCCATGTGTGCTGTCAAAAAAATTCATTATTAAAAAGATTTCTTGGGGGAAAACCCCCAAAGGCATTGTTTTATCTGAGCTCCCCTTTTTTTATTCAACAAACATTTATTGAGCACTTATGGATCCATTATCAAAAAAACAAATGAACTATGATCTTCGGTCTCAAAGATCTCAATTAACCATACGAGTAGTTAAATCTTTTTGTGTGTTTAGGTCTAACTCAATCTCGTATACGCCAGATTGTTTGACAATGTAAGACCTGATGATTTTATTTTCATTCAGTCTTAGTTTAGTTTGTTTTGTGAAACAATAATACAGCTTTGGAAAAATCGATGGCTCTGGCACGATCTATCAGCACTTTTGCTACAAATGTCAGCTTCTATTTGCATGGTTCTTTACTGTTCTTGTTGTTCCTGCTTGTTAAGCAAATTCTGTCAAAAAAATAAGTTAAGTAATAACTAGGAAATAACAGGGCCCAAACTTGTCCATGTACTAAAAGTGCTCAGAGAATATCAAGTAAGTACCAGCTATTGATTTCAAAGGAATTCTACTGGGCAAAACTTTTCTTTGTAACGACTATTTAGCTCTGAAGTAGGTTTCCTAAAATAATGTCAAGGGAAAATTACTTTTTAGTTTATTTATCTTTTATATAGAGACAATACATCTAGTGTTTGCTTGGATAATATAGTTTGATAAACAATTTTACACAGGGAATACAAATTTTAAAAAGTGAAGTTTTCCTGATATGGGGGGCATTTCCAAAATCTGTGTTTCTGCACTTGGGCAACACTTGTACCTCTAGTTCCTGACAAAGTCCATCAACATGCTTTGGGTATGTTAACTCCTATTTGCCAGAAGCTTAACTAGGTAAAATTTCCACCCTATATACTAGGAATAGGGGCAGTGCTTGAAACTCTACTTTTGGGAGGATTTCTCATTTTATGTAAATTTCAACACAGTGGAATGACTTAAGGGAAAAAAAAAACTACACTCATTGTAGCTCCTCAGTGTTCCTTCTTTTAAAATAATAGTTTTCATTAACTTTTTGTTTGGTGTCTTTTGCAAAAGTAATACAGACTCAATGTAGACTATGGGGAAAATTCAGTAAAGCAACATTTTGGTCCATCCTTTAGAGACAGCGATGGACAGTTTTCTTTAAACGGTAATGGAGTGTCGTGAACTGTTTTGTAAACTGCAATTTTTCCTCGTCTACCATTTTCGACTTTTTTACAGCGACTACTGTCCGCCCTTTCTCCACAGGTGGTCGCAGCCCCTGCAGGGCGATCTAATTTCTCCCCCGACTTTCCGCCGCAGCCGGAAGCCGCTTGCCCACAGGGCAGCTGCGGAACCAGCGCAGGCCCGGTTCCTTTAAGAGGCAGGCGCGGGGGCGGGCAGGGGGGAGCGCCTCGCCGATTGGCCGAGCTTGGAGCCACGTGGCTGTCCTGGCAGCAGAGGCGGTGGCCCGGCTCCCGGAGGCTGTCGCGGAGCTCCCCCGGGGTCCCCGGGAAGGGGCGAGGGCTCACCGATGTGCGTGAGGAGGTGCCTGGTGGGCCTCACCTTTTGTACCTGCTACCTGGCTTCTTACCTCACGAACAAGGTGAGGGGGGCGGGCGCGGGGCGGCAATGATTGCACGTGGGAGATCTGGGTCCCCAAATCGTCCGTGGAACAGATGCAGCCTCCAGCTGTTTATCTGATTTTTCCTGATGGTGGTGGAGACGAAGCTGACTGTGTAGGGAACCCTTATTTAGGAATAGGATTCGTGGAATTATTTTTGAAAATAAAATAAAAAGTTAATTTTATTTAAAGTAATGTCATGAAACCCTGTTTGTGAAACGGCAGAAAAGCAATTGTACCATGTTTTTTATTTTGTTGGGAGGGGGAAACTGGCCTTGGATTTGGTACCATGCAGGGAAATGTTGGACCGCTGTGAGCTAGAGTGGGGCATCCCCTCCTGTCCTGGACATTGGGCTGGAAACCAAGACAAAGTGGTGATGCCAGGCCCCGGACCACTTTCTCCTACTCTGGGGTCTCCATTGCCCCCCCAAAACACCAAACCCCTCTTGCTCTCTGGAAAAAAAACTATTAACAAATAGCATTTTCCTATACCTTCTCTCTTAATGTGAGTGGCTGTCTTCAGTATACTCAGAGGATGCGCCAGAACCCTCCTTCCCCCTGTCCAGTTGATTTTTAGTTCTGGTGATGGGCCTTTAAAGATCCATACATAGTACCTTCCTGGTAGGGGTGGGAGAGGTAGTCCTTCACAGTGGGACTCTGGTAGGGACTTTGTAACTCTTAAATTACGCCACTGTTTCAACCAGGACAGTTATGCTTCCTTTTGGTCTCCAGACCAGGTTGGCTTGCTTAAAGAGAGACAAAGAAGGGGGATTGGATTTTTAGGTAAATTGGACAGTAGATAAGGTGGATACCCTGAGAAAAGAGACTTAAGTCCAGTTTTCAACAGGTGCTGCAGTTCCAACATGGCACTTCTGGGGTCTGGAAAGAGGCTGAGTGGTTGGACCTCCACAGCATCAGACCCAGCTGCTGTGCATCCCAATTTGCTGATGATCCCAGTTCCATTCCCCGACCGACAGGTGGTCATGCTTCTGACAATACTGGGGAAAAATAGACCCGCTCTTTTTAGTATGACTTGGAAGGTCTTTCTTTTTTAAAATTTTTGCCCAATGTGTGATTTTTGGGGGGAAGGATAAAAGCCTTTTTGAAACTTGAGTGTATTTATGTTTCTTCGGTAGGGATTTCTTTGATTATACAATCAATTCTCGATAATTTGAAAATGTCCACTAATCTGGTATTTGTTTTTCAGTATGTCCTGTCTGTCTTGAAATTTACCTACCCTACATTATTCCAAGGGTGAGTATCTTTTATGCTCTTTATACACATTTGTGGGACATGTCTAACCAGCATCATTAGCTGTTCTTTAAAATATTTTTGGGGTGCCTGGGTGGCTCAGTAGGTTAAGCTTCTGACTCCTGATTTCTGGTCAGGTCATGATCTCAGGATCGTGAGATTGAGCCCCACTTTGGGCTCTGCATTCAGCAGGGAGTCTGCTTGAGATTCTTTCTCTCCCTCTCCCCCTCCCTCTTCCCCTCCCCCTGCTCAAGTGCTTTCTCTCTCTCTCAAATAAATAAATCTTAAAAAAAAAATAAAATATTTTTAATGACTACATAGATTTTTTTATGAAATAGACATACGGTAATTTATTTAGCCATTCTATTAATGGGCATTTAAATCGTGTCCCATTTTGGGGGCATAAAGACAATGATGTTATCAGACATTTGTTATATTCAAATCTGTCAAATTTCTAGCTATTTCTTTGGGATAGATTCCTATGTAAGAAATTTTGGTTAAAGAATATGAACTTCTTTAGTATTCCTCCTGAATATTAAATTCTTTTTCAGAAATGTGTTACCAATTTACATTGTGACCAAGTTTCTATAATATTGTACTCAAACCATGACTGTTTTTCTCCTCTCTCTGATGCATGAGCCCCAAATGGTATCACATTGTTTTGTCTTACATTTTTCATGAAGCTGGACCGTTTTCTTATGTGTGTTACCCATTTGTATTGCTTTTATCAGTGAATTGTCTACTTGTGCCTTTTCCCTTTTATTTTTACTGGGGTTTTAGTATCTTTCTTATTAATTTAATGACTTCTTCATATTTTAAGAATGCCAACCACTTGTCCATCATGTTTATTAGAAATTTCTTTTTTTGCAGTTTGTCCTTTGCCTTTTCATTTTGTTCATACTTATTTTGATTATTTAAATATATTTTTAAGTGACATCATGGAGAATTTATTGCTAAGATGTAAGACGGAAGCAACAGAAAGAACTACAGATAAATCTAGCATGTGGTCTTATGATTGAAGAATGCCATTCTTAGACAAAAGAGATGAGGAAAAAGGGGTGTGGAGCTAGGTCATAGTGGAGATGTTGTAGAAGCAGCACAGGCTGCTCCGGCACTCACATTTCCCTTCCTCACCTCATCCCCACTCAAGCTTTTTATTTAATTAATTAATTTAGTTAAGATTTATTTATTTTAGAGAGAGAAAGAAAGCGTGAGCGTGGGAGAGAGGAACAGAGGAAGAAGGAGAGAGAAACTCAAGCCGACTCTATGCTGAGTGCGGAGCCTCACGCAGGGCTCGATTTCACGATCCCAAGATCACGACCTGAGCTAAAACCAAGAGTTGGATGCTTAACTGACTGTACCACCTAGGTGCCCCTCCGCTCAAGCTTTTAAAAAAAAGTCGTTTTAGGGTGCCTGGGTGGCTCGGTCGGTTGGGTGTCTACCTTTGGCTCAGGTCATGAGCTCAGGGTCCTGGGATCCAGCCCTGCATCAGGCCCCCTGCTCAGTGGGGAGCCTGCTTCTCCCTCTCCCTCTGCCCCTCCCCCTGCTTATGCTTGCTCTCTCCCTCTGTCTCTCTCCCATATAAATACATAAAATCTTTAAAAAATTGTTTTATTTTTATAGTGGACAAATATTGATGATTGTGATTGGTACCATTCCTTTAATATTTATTCTTCTCCACCACAAGCTCATGTAGATATTTACGTACATTTCATTAAAGCTTTATTCAATTTTTAATCATTGTCCATTTATTTAAATGTGTAATGTGAGGAAATCATCCCTCCCCTAGTTTCATTTATACTAGCCCTATGTTTTTTTAAAAAAGGTTTATTTATTTATTTGAGAGAGAGAAAGAGAGCATGAGTGGCAGGAGCAGAGGGTGAGGGAGAGAGAATCTCAAGCAGACTCCATGCTGAGCATGGAGCCCAATGCAGGGCTCAAACTCACAATGCCAAGATCAAGAGTTGCATGCTCCACTGACTGAGCCTCATATACTAGCCCTGTATTTTCTATTTTATTGTATAATCTTTCCTTTTGCCTTTGGGTTGTTAATATCGTATATAAAGTTATTTTTCTAGGGTCTATTTTTGAGTATTTGTCAATTTTTATGAAAAAGGGCTACTGCTAAATTGTTTTAATTATTATAGCATTTAAATATGTCATAGAGCAGGACATCCCTCATTCTTTTTTTTTTTTTTTTAATATTATACAAATGCAAACAAAAGAGCAGGGGTCATGATCTTTGCCAGACAAGGTCCAGGACAAAAAGGACTAAACATATGAAGAAAGATGTGTTATGATGCTAAATAAAGCACGCAGTTCAAAATGAAAAGATACGTTATAAATGTTATGAAAAGACATGTTGGAGTGTGCCGTTCAAAATGAAAATAAAATAGTGATGAATATCTACCAGCCAGACAATGGGGCAGAAATATCAAGAATACATAGAAACATACAATTAATAGGAGACAAATTTGCCACTATTTTTCCATGACATTCAGTTGGACAAACAAAAAGCTAGTGTCCATGTGTGTGTATGTGTGTATGTATATATATAAGCTAAATAATACAATTAATAGGTAAATATCAAACCCTGCATCTTTAAAATAGAAACTATACCCTCTTCTCAAATGCCCAGGGAATATTCATTATGAATAAAACAAGCAATAATTTGCCCAAAGTAACAATTATACAATCTTACTGCCCTAAAGCTAGATTTTATTTTATTTTTTTAAATTTTATTTAATTATTTGAGAGAGAGAGTGAGCGAGAGAGAGAGAGTGGTGCAGAGGGGCAGAGGGAGAGGAGGAGGCAGACTCCTCGCTAAGCAGGGAACCCAAGGTAGGACTCAATCCCAGGACCCCTAGGTCATGACCTGAGTCAAAGGTAGATGCTTAACTGACTGAGCCACCCAGGTGCCCGTAAAGCTAGAATTTAATATCAAAACCAAAAATCTCGGGCACCTGGGTGGCTCAGTTGGTTAAGCGACTGCCTTCAGCTCAGGTCATGATCCTGGAGTCCCTGGATCGAGTCCCGCATCGGGCTCACTGCTCAGTGGGGAGTCTGCTTCTCCCTCTGACCCTCCCCCCTCTCATGTGCTCTCTCTCATTCTCTCTCTCTCAAATAAATAAATAAAATCTTTAAAAAAAAAAAAACCAAAAATCTCTATTTACAAATAATTCTTTATTCATAAGAAAAATATAATTAAAATCAATATTGAAAAATCCTATTTTGCCTATAAGATGTGCAAAATAAAATTTCAAAATTTGATAACACAACGTTGGTGAAGATGTAGAAAACAGGTGCTCTCCTACATGGATCTGGGGTGGCAAATTGGTACAGTATCTGTGAGTGACACTTTGGCAATATGTAACACTATCTCAACAGTTTGAATCCTTCACTTCTGCAATTCCACTTCCAGGGATTTATTTGAGAGGTTTACTTGCACTTTTGTAAATAAAATATGTACGAAGACATACGTGGGAAACATTGCAGCTCTGTGACAGCAAGCATTTTTAAACAACCTGATTTTCATCTCTACAGAACCCATTAAATAAATTATATTATAGCCTTAATGGAATATTATTCAAATGGCAAAAAATAATAAGGACACTCTCAGGTATTGAAATGAAAAGGTTTTCAAAATGCATTTAATGGGGGACAAAAGCAAGTCTGTAACAGGGTGGTACAATACCATCGTGTAGAAATGTGTGTGTATGTTTTCCTTATTTAAAAAAAGGTGAAGGGGCACCTGGGTGGCTCAGTTGGTTAAGCGACTGCCTTCGGCTCAGGTCATGATCCTGGAGTCCCGGGATCGAGTCCCACATCGGGCTCCCTGCTCGGCGGGGCGTCTGCTTCTCCCTCTGACCCTCCTCCCTCTCATGCTCTCTGTCTCTCATTCTCTCTGTCTCAAATAAATAAATAAAATCTTTAAAAAAAAAAAAAGGTGAAGGGGTGCCTGGGTGGCTCAGTCGGTTAAGCGTCCACCTTCGGCTCAGGTCATGATCCCAGGGTCCTGGGATCGAGCCCCACATCGGGCTCCCTGCTCAGCGTGGAGCCTGCTTCTCCCTCTGCCTGCCGCTCCCCCTGCTTGTGCTCTCTCTCTCTCTGACAAATAAATAAATAAATAAAAATAAAAAAAGGTGAAGAAACTACCAAGAGTGGTTACCCTTAGAAAGGTGGAAGCTGCGCAGAGAGTGGACAGGCAAGGGAAGAAGACTTTAAAGCACTTCCTTTTTTATACTTTTGGATTTTTGTTCTTTATCGTATCACCAATATATTACTTCAGGTAAAATTCAGAATGACCTTGTCAAGTTTCTCCCTAATATTTCGTAGCAAAACTTAAAAAAAATATTGTTTATGATTACATATACAGTAGTCCCCCCTTATCCACGGTTTCGCTTTCTGCGGTTTCGGTCACCCGCAGTCAGTTCTCTCTGGAAATAGATGATTCTCCCCTGACTTGTCAGAGGTGAATGGTAGCCTGCAGGTATGTCAGAATGCCTACCTCATTCACCTCACTTCACCTCACCATGTGGGCATTTATCATCTTGCAGCATTGTGAGAAGAAGGGTGAGTACAGAGATTTTGAGAGAGAAACCACATTCATATAACTTTTATTACAGCATATTGTTATAATTGTTCTGTTTTATTATTGGTTATTGTTGTTAGTCTCCTACGGGGCCTAATTTATAAATTCAACTTTATCATAGGTATGTACGTGTAGGAAAAAACATAACATATATTTGGTTCGGCACTATCTGCAGTTTCAGGCATCCCCAAGGATCTTAAAATGATCCCCCACAAGTAAGGGGGGGAACCACTGTATTTCCGTCAATAAAGCTGGGATGTTGTTTTCTCTTTTAGTGAATAGGAATCATTTTCTGGTCCTGACTGTCTTGCAGTTCTCTCCAGGTAGAGAGCCTTAGGGAACTTAGGTGGGAAAGGAGGATCTCTACGTCTGGATTGCCTTTTCCCCTGTGTATCTGTGGATGGGTCAGACTGAATGTCCCTCCTCCAACAGATTGTAAGGTCTACAAATGGAAGAATTTTTTTTTTTAATCTCTTTTGTCACTGGAGTATCTATCCCCAGTGCTTAGAGCAATGCCTGGAATGTAGGAGGTACACAATTGGGCGGAGTAACTCATTCTACAAATCCTTATTGGGTGCATACTGTGTGCCAGGCACTGTTTTAGACATGAGAGGTACATCAGTGGAGAAAGCAAAGATCCCTGACCTCGTACAGCTTTCTTTTCTCTCCTGCCTGTCCCTTAAATTTACTTGCAGTGAATGGTACCTTCCATCCAGTTGCCTGACTGAAGAACTCCCAGAAACGTGGGAGTTGATTCCTTTGTCTCCTTCATCCCCGACATCTTTTTTTTTTAATGTTTTTTTTTTTTAAATTTATTTATTCATGAGAGTCAGACAGAGAGAAGGAGAGAGAGGCAGAGGCAGAGGGAGAAGCAGGCTCCCCGCTGAGCAGGGAGCCCGACACGGGACTTGATCCCAGGACCCCGGGATCACGACCCGAGCTGAAGGCAGACGCTCAACCATCTGAGCCACCCAGGTGCCCCTTCATCCCTGACATCTAGTTAACCACCAGGACCTCCTAAACATCCTCAGAATCTGTCCACCTTCTTCATCCAAATTGCCCCTTCACGGACCACTGTCATCTCTCAAATTACTATTGACATTTTGAGCTGGGTAACCCTTTGTTATGGGGCTGTCCTGCACATGGTAGGATATTTGGCAGCATCCCTGGCTACGACTCACCAGATGCCAGTTGCCACCCTCCCTTCCCCTACCTCCAGTTATGACAACCAAAAATGTCTCTAGGTACTGCCAAATGTCCCCTGGGTGGGGGGGAACATACGGTTGAGTGCCACTGCTCTAGATTACGCTGTTGGAGGGCATGACCATATCTGTCTGCTCTGCTTGGCTGGGTTAGAGAAGGTTTCACAAAGGAGGCGTAAAAACTGGATCTTAAAGGAGGAGCAGGTGTTCGCCAATACACAAGGAGATGGGAGAATATGATGGGTCAAGAGGACAGCACATGGAATGACCTGGCACATTCCCGAGGCTGAGGGAGGTTCAGTATGGCTGGAATGTCGCTGCCTGTGGCAGATGGACAGGAGCTGGTCTTGGAAAGGGGAGACTGCAAGTCTGGGAAGGCTTGTGTGTCACACGTAAGTGACTTTATCCTGGAGGCCAGCAGTTCTCCACTGTTATGTCACAACCCACGGGTGTGTTGTAATCACTTCCGAGGTGAGGTGTCTCAAGTCATAAAATAAGGTTTTGAAGTCTATGAATGGCTCACCTAAAATAAAGCAATTAGAGTGAAACAAGGGGAAGTCATGCCTGTAGTAGCCTCTCACTCATTTTGAACTTTGCTGTGCTTTGTGCCATGGGAGGGGCCGGGGTGCGTAATTCACAGCCTGGTTCCCCCTGTGCTCTGCATGCTGAGGAAGTGCGTCTCACATGAGCTACGTGGCCCCTGGTGTGTCGTGGCAGAAAAGAGATTGGGAGTTGCTGCCGGCCACCTGGGAAGAATCAACCATTTTTAAAATGAGCGAGTGGCAAAATTAAGTTTGCATTCTAGAACAAGCCTTGTGGCTGCAAGGTAGAGAATGGATGTTGTGGGACCATCCTGGGGATAGGGACACCAGTGAGGGGACTGATGTTCGGTTCAGGTGTGCCACGAGGGGAGTCTCATTAGGCAGAGGCAGAAGGTATGGAAAAGAGAAGGCGTGGCACTTGAGAACTGTTAGGGGATTACGTGCAATAGGATTTTGTGAACAGATGAGGGAGGTGACTGAGGAGGAAGAGCTAGGATGACATCTGGGCTCTGGTTTGGTTGGTTAGGGATGGGGCAGTAGATCAGAATGGGGAAGGGAAGTTCAAGGTCATGTTTTAGGCAAGTTATCATTGGGAGCTTGTAGAGTATCAAGGTGGCAGTATCCAGGTGAGCACAGGGATTTGGGAATCATCAGTGCAGGGCACTGGGAGAAGTGGGGACTGTGGGTGAGATTGTTCGGGGAAAAGTCTAGAATAAGAAGAGAAGAATATCAGTGTGAGCACTGAACAGTACAGCTAGACTCAAGAATAGTACAGGTTGAGAAGGAGGGTCTGGGAACTGGGATACCAGTTAGGAGAATATGGGAGAAAAGAGATGTAGGAAGGCTTAGGTGTGTATATTTACGTCAGCCAGTGGGTCTGCTGGGGCTGGATGGTGTTGGAGATCATAGCACTCTCTCAAATTCACATTGGCTTGTATTCTTTTCAGGTGGCAGACATTAATTGGTGGACTTTTGCTTCATGTATCATGGAAACTGGGCTGGGCCGAGATCAACAGCAGTTTAAGGTAGAACAGCCTCTTCTTGCTTGATTCATGATTCATACCCTGCATTCTTTTCACATTATTGAACTTCTGGTGTTATTTTGGGAAACATGGATGTTTATTTGAGTTGCTTCATCTCTTAGTTCCCTTCTAACCTTGAGATTTTAGTGCTTTTATAATCATATAGAACTCAAGGAGTGTTTTCCTGGTTAGTTACTAAAATGATATTAAGATTAATCAAGATACATAATTTATAACACTGTATTAATTGGGCTTTGTTATAGATCATGGGAGCACGGTGAATGAGTTTCTAAATCAACTTAAATTTTTTTGGTAAATTTTTAATTTTGAAATTATTTACTACTTTATAGAACAGTTAGAAATAGTACAAAGAACTTCCATACCTTTTACTCATGTTCCTCTATTATTATTTTACCACGCCTCTCCCACCATTTGCTCTTGAGATATATATATATATTTTTTTTTTTTTCCTGAACTATGTGAGAGTAAGTTGCAGAGTTGAGAGTAAAATGCCTCTTTACTTCTAAATTCTTTAGTTTGTATTTTCTTTTTTTTTTTAAGATTTACTTATTTACTTGAGAGAGCATTCGAGTGCAAAAGAGGGAGTGGCAGAGGGAGAGGGAGAATCTCAAGCAGACTCTGTGCTGAGCACAAAGCCCAATGTGGGGCTCGATCTCACGACCCTGAGATCACCACCTGAGCCAAAACCAGGAGTTGATCGCCCAATCAACTGTGCCCCCAGGTGCCCCTTTCATGTGTATTTTCTAAGAGCAAGGACATTTTCTTTTCTTCTTCTTTTTTTTTAATATTTTATTTACTTATTTGACACAGATTAAGCACAGGCAGGTGGAATAGCGGCAGTAGGAGAGGGAGAAGCAGACTCCTGCTGAGCAAGGAGCCCAAAGTGGGGCTCGATCCCAGGACCCCGGGATCATGACCTGAGCTGAAGGCAGTCGCTTAACCAACTGAGCCACCCAGGTGCCCCGCAAGGACATTTTCTTACATGACTACAGCTCAGTAATCAAAATCAGGAAATTAATATCGATGTAATACTATTATCTCATCTCCAGACTAAATTCGTATTTTTCCAGTTTTCTCTATAATATCCTTTATTACGTTCCTCCCTGTCCGATTCTGATCCAGGGTCCATTTCACATCACACATTAAATTAGTTGTTATGAATCTATTAAGACAACTTGTTGAATAGATTTAAAAGAAATCTCAAAGACCGTGACATTTTTCAGCCAAAATTATAACCTGAATTGGCTATCCACTCCTGCCTCACCTAGATAAACTCTCACGATTCTTCCAGAACATCATGCCTCACCTGGCATGATGCACAAAATGACAAGCAAATGAAGTCAGCTTTATATGGACAAGACAAACAGCCCTAGTGAATGATCAAGTCATTGACCTTCACCTGTATAACATCCTCACCTTCATAAAATAAAGATACTTTTGGGATTTAATATGTGATATTAAGCAGAGGGCTTACTTTATACTCCATTGTTTCGGTGGATGGTTCAGTGAGAGCTGGGTCTTCATTTAAACAAATAGTGCCCTGAATCCACAAGGCCTGTGATAGTTCTAATATTTAGTTAAATAATGAAGCATCCTGATTCCACATGGTTCAGTTTATTCCTTCACAGAGGCAAGAGACTGGACTAGAATGAAGGAAGTATCAGATTGGGGACTGGGGTCCACTCATGCTCATCAACATGGGTCCTCCACTCTGTTTATAGTGTTCCTGATAATTATCTTATAATTTCTGATGTGAATTATTTACTTCATAATAGTCTTTTAAATAATACAAATGTACTGATCCAAAGGGGCACCTGCACCCCAATGTTTATAGCAGCAATGTCCACAATAGCAAAACTATGGAAAGAACCCAGATGTCCATCAACAGATGAATGGATAAAGAAGATGTAGGATATATATTCAATGGAATACTACTCAGCCATCAAAAAAATGAAATCTTGCCATTTGCAACAACGTGGATGGAACTAGAGGGTATTATGTTAAGTGAAATAAGTCAATCAGAGAAAGACAATTATCATATGATTTCACTCATATGTGGAATTTTTTTTTTTTTATTTCTTTTTTTTTTTTTATTCTTATGTTAATCCCCATACATTACATCATTAGTTCTAGATGAAGTGTTCCATGATTCATC